TCTGCGTCCTTCACCCTCACTCCCGGATATTTCATCTCCAGTCTCTTGGGCTGCCCTAAGCTATTAGAACTTGTGGACTGGAAGCCTGGAGGGGACAAACAGCTATTTCCTTTTTTGCAGCCTGGGGCATTCCATCTGCAGACTGGCCAGAGAAGCAGCAGGCAGCGGGGAGGAGCATCACACAGACTGATCGGAGAAAACCAATCCAGTGAGCATTCGGAATGCCTCACACCACTCGTAGCTGAGACAGCCCCACGTTCCAGGGGAGACTGGGGTGCTGATGTTCTGAGCCACCCTGTTTTTAATTGTATTCAACTGATGCATCTGATATGATATCTTTATCCCGTGCTTGTAGGAGCCTAGGAGTGACATTTTCTCTCTCTCTCTTATTTTCCTCTTTCGGCACCTGCTTCTCTGGCCTAAGACGGAGCTTACTGCCACTACAAGTGCATGCAAATATTTGTTAAATGAATGGATGAAGGAATTTCAGTTTCTTAAAAAAAAAATCATAAAATACCACCAGAAACCCCTCTCCTCCGAGTGGTCTCCTGCATGCCTCTGTTTGGCATAGACTGCACTTGCTCCAACATTACCAGGGCATCTGTACTATAAAGATGCCGGCAGACAGATGCTAGTGTGCATCCCACAAATGGCTGTCTGCAAGTGGTGTGCATAAATCAGACTGCTCAGCCTGGAGTCAGTTCAGTACATGCATATTACACTATTGAAGATTTGCTGATTAAATCACCCAAGCCGAAAACAGTTACAGTAATTCCAGACTCCAATTGGATTCCAATGTCAAGGCAAATCACTTGTGAGCACCGAGCTCATTTAAGCCTGGGAAGTAAACATCACAGGAGAGTTGTTTGCTTTCCCCCCACTTTATTGCTTGATCCTCACATTCATCATTGTGTTGTGCAAATCGCACATCAAAATGCCATTAAATAATGTTGTTGAATAGGTTTCCTTCTGCACAATTGGCTATAATGCAACCTAATAGATTGTGTTAATACTTCAGTGAAAATTTATATGCTCTAAAGAGTGGTCTCCTAATCCTTTCTATTTTTCTTTTTATTTCAGGAGTGGTGGCTGCTCTGGAGGGAGGTGAAATATTATTTTTAAATGTGGGACACAAGGAAGGGTCCAGCCTGAAGGGGCAACTATCGGTAAGCCTAAACAAAAGACGCAGGGATGTGGAAGGCTTCAGAAGGGCCAGCTGCTCCAGGGTAAAAACAGTGGCTTGGGTTCCAGGAAACAGAGCTGCAGTCCTGGCTCTGCCTCTGGGCACCTTTGAGGCATTGGATAATTCAGAGAACGAATGTTTCTGGGGCTTCCATAAGTATGAGAGGAGCAGTTTGCTCTTTGGTTTCTATGATTTTATAAACAAGAAATGCTAGCTTTATGGTCTTTTCGTATTTACTGCCTTCTTCCCTGGGAGGAGAAGAAAGTCATGTGGCACAAGTTGAAGGGCATCCCGCCCTTAGGATTTCATGGGAGATATTAGAAAGGGACAGCAGGGCAGTTGGACAGAGGTGGCTTCATTTCCATCCGTGGTCTCTGCCAGCAGGGTTGCCCTGGGCAGGTCTCTTCTTCGCTAGACCAGCTTCCCAATCCCAAGTGGGAAGCATCTTAGGGAACCTGAAAGGTTGTGTCAAGAATCAGCAGTGCTGTGTCATCACCTAACACAGTCTTTGACACAGGGTAGACTTTCTATCAATCCCAGATGGCTTTATTATCAGCAGTTAAAACTGTCAAATCACAGCAGCAGAGGCAGGAGGGACATTACAGCAGTTACTGTAATTTTTACAATGGAAGTGCTGTCCACAGGGAAGGGGAATCTCAAATGGCATTTTATGGACAAACCCTGACACGTACAAGCCGTGGACAATACTGCCTAGCCACCAAAAGACACAAGCTGTCTAGCCACAGCAGGGCTCGGAGAAAGCCGAGTGGACATGACTAAGCCAGAGGAGCCGGCGTGAGAGGAGCCACTGCACCATTCCAGCCGAACAGCCTCCTGGAAAAGACAAAGGCAGCGACACAGGAAGATGGAGGTGACCAGGTGTCTGGGGAGGAAGCGGTGAGCAGGCACAGCG